AGGCCCTCTCATTGAATTCGAGTTTTAGAGCTGGAGACTACCTTAGAGACCAGGTAATCCAACCCTTTCAATTGACAGGAGAACCTGGGGCTCAAAGCTGAGAAGGGACATTCTCAAAGTCCCACAGTATATGAATTCAGGGACCTAGAGCTGGAAAGTACCTCAGAGGCTGTCTAGTGCAGATCCATTTTACAGGTGAGGAAACTAAAGGCCAGAGAAGGGACTTGCCCAGAACCACATAAGCAGAAAGCATCACAGGTGGGTTTTGAACCCAAGTCTGGTGACTTCAGAACTAACAGTGTCCTGCTGCCTCCAAGGGCAGAGCTGAGGCTCAAAACTGAAAGGCCACTTCCTGGTACTTCTTTTGACTGGGGAGGGCAGGTCACTTCTGAGAAGGGAAGTCTTCTGAGTTTTTCCTCCTTCCCCCCCTTTCTTCACACTTCCCTCTTTAGGAAAGTATCCAGGTGGCATGCTGGTTCAGGTACCAGGCCTGGAAGCGGGAAGACTGGAGTCCAAATCTGGCCTTGGACACGGTAGCTGTGACCCTGGACAAGTCACCTAACCTCCATCTGCCTCTGTTTCCTCATCTGTAAAGTGGGGATAATAATAGCACCTACCTCCCAGGGTTATTTGTAGGGATCAGGTGAGATAATATTTGTAAAGCACTTTGTATACCTTAAAATGCCAGATAAATGTTAGTTATTATTATTATCATCATCATAATTATTAGGGGCAGCTAGATGGCACAGTGGATAGAATTCCAGACCTGGAGTCAGGAAGACCTGAGTTCAAATTCAGCCTCAGATACTTACCAGGTGTGTGTGACTCTGGGCAAGTCACTTCACCCAGTTTACCTTAATTTCCTCATCTGTAAAATGAGCTGGAGAGGGAAATGGCAAACTGCTTCAGTATTTTTTGCCAAGAAAACCCCAAATGGGGTCATGAAGAGTCAGACACAATTGGAAGCACTGAACAAGTTAATTTACCTTATCATCTGTGTCAACAGACCAGGAACCCCCTATCCCTCAACAATGGCCACAGTAAATTGGGGCCAATCACAGCAAGGGATAGCCGAGGGTCACTTGGAGGCAGCCTGGGTACAGAGCATTTCTCAGGGCCCTGACTCCTAGGCCGGTGCTCTTTCCATACAACAACTGGCATCAGTGGAGTACTTTTAAGTTTGCGAAACACCTTCCTTACAGTATCTCACTGTAGCCTGACCAGGATACTAGGAGGCTGGTACAACAAGCCTCTTCTCCATTTTACAGTTGAGAAAACTTCGGCTCAGAGAGGCTACGACTTGCTCACAGATACACAGGTGGTATCCAAAGTGGGCTTTGAACCTGTCATCTGTACTCCTGCTCTAATGCTTCTGGCCTATGCTACAACATGCCCTTCCCTCCCCTCCCCTCCCCTCTCCTTCCAAGAAACCCAACCCAAACCACTGGAGGCCCCTAAGCTTTGGAAAGGCCCAGCCTCTGTTTGAAGCATGCCTCTGCCCACAGGGCCTGGCATGAACTTCGCCTTCCATGCAGCAATATGACTCCCCGGTGGGGTCAGCTGTCCTTTGCAGACTTCTGCCAAGGTGAAATCTATGAGCACTCACAGAGCATTTCATAAACACAGCATGGGGTCGGGCTTGTGGAACACACAACAGTCTCCCCCGACCTGCCCTGAGGGAGTTTGTGCTTTGGGACTGGATGGGCTGGGCTGGATTGCCAGGAAAGCCCCACTTCCCCCAAAGGAGGGCAAGGCCTGAGGGGGCGGCTGCAAACTGGTCCATTCCTGAAGATGGAGAGTGTCCAGAAGAGTTTAGCCAGGATAGCTCTTTCAACACCTCCTTTGGGATACAGCTGAATCCTTTTACACTCATAATTGCCTTCCTCTAAAGACCTTTCTAGGGCAGCTGGGTCACTCGGTGGAGAGTGCCAGGCCTGGAGTCAGGAAGACCTGAGTTCAAATCCAGCCTCAGACACCTTCTAGCTGTGTGATCGTGGGCCAGTCCCTTAACCCTGTTTGCCTCAGTTTCCTCATCTGTAAAATGAACCAGAGAGAGAAATGGCAATCCCCTCCAGTATCTTTGCCAAGAAAACTTCAAATGGGGTCACAAAGAGTCAAACATGACTGAAACAACTGAACAAAAAGAGACCTTTTTATAAGTGGGTTAACTCAGGCCCAGATAGAAGTGATTTGCTGCTTAAGGCAAGAGAAGATAGAGCAGTGGGCCTGGAGTCAGGACCTGAGTTCAAATCCAGCCCCAGACATTTATTAGCTTTGTGACCCTGGGCAAGTAGTTTATCTGCTGTCTGCCTCAGTTTCCCCAACTGTAAATGGGAATGATAATAATAGCACTTACCTCTCAGGATTGTTGTGAGGCTCAAATGAGATAATATTTGTGGAGTGCTTAGCACACTGCCTTGCACTTAGTAAGCACTATATAAATGCTAGCTATTATAATTTGACTTTCTAAGGTCACATAGGTAAGCAGTAAGGTTGGTCTCCAAACCCAGGATATCTGACTCTAAAGATGGTGTTCTTCCCCCTGCACCGTGCTCCTGACCACAATGGGACAGGGAAGGCAGGGAGGACAACACCTATGTTGTGGGCAAATCAGAGGCTGTTTGCTGGATGACTGGCGTGGCCATGCTAGGTTACATTGAAGCATGGACATGGGATGTCCCCAAAGTGATCGCCAGACACTAGCTCCCATTCCTAAGGCAGCTAGGTGGCACCCTAGTGGACAGAGCTCTAGGCTTGGACTCAGGAAGACCTGAATTCAAATGTGGCCTCAGACATTTACTAGCTGTGTGGCCCTGGGCAAGTCACTTCACCCTGTTTGCCTTGGTTTCCTCATCTGTAAAATGAGCTGGAGAAGGAAATGGCAAACCACTCCAGTATCTGCCAAGAAAACTCCAGATGGGGTCACAAAGAATTGGACACAACTGAAAAATGATTGAAATCCAGATATGTTACTCAGGCATAGAGGTTCTTGGCATGATGATGGAGGGAGGTGGGGCAGGAAACTGTAGTTTGGCATAGAGGAAAGAGCCTAGCCCTGAACAGCATCCAAGTGCTGGCTATATCACACTCTAGCCTGGTGACCTTGGCCAAGTCACTTCTTTCTGAGCCTTGGTAGACTTACCTGTAAAGTAAGAGATTGGACATGAATAATCTCCAAGAGCCCTTCCAGTCTGATATTCCATTGACTCAGGAGATCATTGGCCTACTACTACCATTGTTACTACTACCACAATCACCACTACCACTACCACTACTACTACTACTACTGCTACTACTACTGCTGCTGCTACTGCTGCTGCTACAATTACTATTGTTGCTACTGCTACTGCTGCTACTACTACTAGCTAGCTAGCATCTCATTTGAGCCTCACAACAACCCTGGGTGGTAGGTGTTATTATTACTCCCATTTTACAAATGAGAAAACTGAGACAGATACAGGTTAAATGACTTACCCAGGGTTACACAGCTAATATATGTCTGAGGCTGGATTTGAATTCAGGTTTTCCCAGCTCCAGATCCAGCCTTCTATCCATCACTTTCCCCTAGCTGCCTCTAGATAATAACTAATATTTAGAGAGCTAAGGTTTGCAAAATGCTTTACATATATAATTTCATGTGATCACCATAACAATGCCTTGTGAGATCGATATGATTTTCAACCCCATTTTGCAGATGGAGAAATAGGCCCAGTGACTTGCCTAGAGTGTCAGAGACAGGATTAGAACTCAGATCTTGAAGGGCCTTCCCTCCTCTGTGATGTTGTGACTCAGTAAAAGGCTGGGCCTTGCACCTCTGCTTACACCCACCTGTTCTCTCTGGCTGGCCAGGTGCTCTGTGCCTAAGTTAGCCCTGCAGAATTGCCAAGCAAACCTTTTCCTGGGTTCCATTCACCAGCTCTGAATTGTTCTTGACTTTCATCCAGGCTACCTGAGCCAGAGCACTTGGCTCTCTGGACCCTTTTTTTGGGGGGGGAGGAAGGGATTCCTCACTGAGTGTCCTCAGCTGCTACTTCCTCCCCCAGCTCCGGGGAGAGCGTGAGTCATCCTGTCCCAAGTGAATCAGGAGGCACCCGAGAGGACAGTGCGTTCCCCTTGATCCGGGTCACTGGGGGTTTCCAAAGCTCCCGAATCCATCCAAACACCTGACTTTGGGAAGGACCACCCACCCTCCTCCTCCACCACCCCCCCTCCACCACCACTAGGGCTTGGCCAGAGCTCCACCTAGCGCACAGTCCCTCCCCCACGTTCCTAGGCTTCTGGTAGTGCAGCTGCTAGAGAAAGATATTTATAGCTTGGGCAAGATGAGGCAGAACCTAGGCCCCTCAATTTCCAAAGTGATTGCAGCAGCCCCACCCCAGGAAAATTGTGATGAGGTGGGGTGAGGTGTGAAATGCAGTGAGGAAATTTAAACTCATCCCTCCCTGGACTAGGTAAAGGCTAGACTATATAGGAACAAGGTTCAGGCCTCAGGGACCCAGCAGCTGATGGGGTCAGGGAAACATTAATCAGGTGCTGATAGCTGGCTAAAACAAGAAATGTCCCTCTAGCTCCCTTAAACGTCACCAGACAGAAAGGTAGGAGGCCCAGATGGGAAGATTCCTGTTGCTAATTTAGGGGACCACTTTTAGCACCCTAGGATTTAGAGCTGGATGGGACCTCAAAGATATTTGAGTCTATCTTCTTTCCCCACTCCACTCCCCCACCCCATTTAACAGATAAGGAAATGGAAGCCCAGCAAGTAAAGGGTTGTGCCTTGGAGACAGTTAGTGGAGCCAGAATTCGAATCCAGTTCTTTTGACTCTCCTACCTCTCTCCCTCCCCTGGACTCAGTTTTCTCATATGTTAAAATGAGAGGCTTGGTTGAGATGATCTCTAAGATCTTTCCCCGATCTAAGGGAGAGTCAGTCTATAATAGAAGGACTAGGAAGGTCCTGCCACCTCCTTAGTGATGTGTCCAAGTCATTATGCCTTCCAGATCCTCAGTTTCCACCTTTATAAAATGCGGGTTCTCATCCACTATGTAAGGAAAAGGCTTTGCAAACTGTGGTGACTGCCACATGGCAAATGGGCCTTTGTCTCAGGGTGACCACTGTCCCCACAATCGGCTTCACAGCCCTCCAGTGACATGGGTTGCAAATGTTCTCAGCCACCATCCCTAGGGAGACCCAACTCCAGGGCTCACCTACCAAAGAGACTGAGGCCCCAGTGGGGTGTCCTCAGTACTTCTGTGTATGCCCTCCACACCTGCCCCTGTAACACAAACACACACACACACACACACACACACACACACACACACACACACACACACACACACCCCTGAATTTGCCCCAGGCAGTTTGGGCTAGTTACAACTTGGTATACAAGTTATGCAGAGCGATTTTCTTAAGGGTGACTCTGATTCTCTCTGGCCCCAGCAGACTGCTCATCTGCCCCCATTTCCTCTCCCAGCTCTGCTTTAGCTGGTCCCACTCCTGATGGGGGAGGGTGATAAAACACAACCCCCTGGGCTGTCCCCCTCTCTGACTGCCCAACTAAACAAGGGAACCCAGGACAGATTAAGAAGCCCAGACACAGGTAGCCTGCTGCTGCCCTCTGGTGGGGAAGGATTGTAGGGAGGGTGTTCGATTGAGGACTTCAAGACCTAGTGAATGGCTATGGGTCTCTGAACCAGATATCAGCCTCTGTGAGCCCAATATCAGCCCCTTCCCTCTTCCTCCCAAGGCTAGTGCAGGAGACCCTGGGAGTTATCTACTGACCACCTCAAACCAGGGTTAGATGTCTCTGGGGCTATGAGCTCTGCTGGGATGGAGTAAGCAATAATGAACCATCCTTTCAGATCATTGAATATTAGGACTGGAAGGAAGTCCTTATAGGTCATAGGGTCATATTTCAGAGCTAGGAGGGACCTTAGAAGCCATCTAGTCCAACACTGTTATTTTACAGACCGAGACCCAGAGAGGTTAAGTGATTTGCTCAGGTCACACATGCAGTAAGGAGATGAACCCAGATTCTTAAACTATAATGCCTCATCCATACCATGTTCCCCACTGGTCCTCTGGAGCCATGTAGAAAGTGCCCAGTGCACCCCACCTGGTCTGAACCTTTTTTCCCCACACTGGGCTTTTGGCAAGTTTGAGAAGCTGTGCCTGCGGCGATGCCCCAGCTCCTAAAGTCTCTCCAAGTGCCGATACTTCTTCCGTAGGACAGACACCTGGTCCTTGAAGAGTACAGGGTCCAGGCGGAGCTGTGAATGCACCAGAGGCATGCGGCCAAACCATGAGGCAAATCTGTTGACGCAGTTCTTCAACTGCTGTTCAGCTCTAGGATGCTGGAATGAGTAGGGAAAGAGAAGGGTTAAGACACAATGGTGGGCTCCCCATCTCCCATACTTTCCCCTCAACCAACCCTTCAACAGAAGAGATTTCTATTGAAAAAGAGAACTTCTGGGCATAGAAAAAGGTAGAACAGGGGATGGGGGTGGAAGTGTCTTCTTGGGGGGACTTTAAACAGAATCACAGAATTTCATAGTTGGAAGGGACCTCACTGGCCACCTAGCCAACCATCATCCCCAAAATGAAGCCCTACCTATAACACTCATGAGAAGTAGTCTTTGCCTGAAGACCTTTCATGAGGAGAACCCCACCCCCCTCCATAGGCAGCCCATTCCCCTTATGGGTAGCTCTCATCATTAGAAAGTTTAAATCTGCCTCTGTGACTTCCCCCCATTGCATTGTTCCTGGTCCTTCCTGGTATGCTTGGGAACTGAACATAATACTCTAGGAATGGCCAACCAATGTGGAATGCAGCTGGACTGTCCACTCTTTGGTCTTCTCTTAATGAAGCCGAACAACATGTGGAGCCAGATGACCTGGGGTCAAATTGCTTAGGTGGCCTTGGGCCTCAGTTTCCTCATCTGTATAATGAGGGGGCTTTCACTATATGACCTATAAGATCTGAATCTATGATCTCAAGATCTTGCCTCTGATTCACATGGAGCCTGTGACTCACTAAAACCCAAAGGTCTTATCTAACTATGCTTCCCCACGTCTTGTACTTGTGAAATTGATTTTTTTGAGCCTCAATAAGCCTCTACATTTACTGCTATTACATTTCCTCTAACTAGATTGAAGCCAATACTCTAGCGGCTGAAGTCTAGCCTGCCTCGTGTCATCTAGTGCATTAACTATCTCTCCCAGCTCTGTCACCTGCAAATTTAATAAACACACCATATCTGCTGTTATCAAAGTCATTGATTAAAATGTTATCAGAACAGAAGGCTGATTCACACATATTTCAGTGCCGGAAAGCAGGAGGATGGATGAGATAATCTTCCCAAGTCCAGATAATTCTGGCGAAGAAAACCTCCCACCTGCCCCTCCCATGCAGCCTGTTTTAGTGAATGGGTACGTCTCCTGTTTTTCCAAACCTTCCCAAAGAGAAGGCCACAATTGCCCTCTCTTACTTGGGTCTCCTGACTTTTATATAATCTATAATCTAATCTCTAATTCCCTTTTTTAGGTTTCCCCAGCTCTCCCCCTTCCACAGTATTCTCTCCTACCTCAGGGTCTTCAACAGGGTCCTCCCCCCTATTTCCCACCTGTGGAGAGGGTACCTCCTGGAGCTGCTTCCGCTGTGGTACTTTGATGGGCGGGAGCTTGGTGACTTCAGCCACAAGGAAATTCATCAAGATATCTTCACAGGCTGAGAGCTCATCCACAAGGTCCCTTAGTGGGGCAGGCAGGGAGTGGGTGAAGAGGTTATGGTAATACCTGGGCAGTAGAAGACACCAAAGTCATCATGTCAGAACCATGAGGACTCTTAGAACACAATGTCAGAACTAAAAGGAACCTTAGACTATAGAATGTCAGAGCTGAGAGGGGCCTTAAAATATGGAAGATCAGAGCTGGGAGAGGCATTAGAATACAGAATGTCAGAGCTAGAAGAGGCCTTAGAATGTGGCATGTCAGAGCTGGGAAGGCCCTTAGAACACAGCATGGCAGAGCTGTAGGGGACCTTAGAGACCATCAATCCAATCTCCTAATTTTCCAAAGTGGGCTGTGAGCCTGGAAAGTGGATTGGGAAGGTCCGAGCCATTGGCCCCATTCCCTAAGCATCTTTCCCAGTGCTTCACCTCTAGTCTCCAGAAGATGTCGCCTCTGAGCTCCAATCAATCAGGGCAATCTGTGCAAGCACATAGCTAGGCTTTGGCTGGGACAGTGTTTGGAAACATTCCAGCTAGCCTGCTTCATTAGGTAAGCTAATGGGATGTGACTCTTAGGGTGTGCCTCACTTCATGCAGACCTGGTATGTAAAACTCCAGATTTATACCAAAGGTGAACTGGGGGCAATTCTTCACTCTATGATTCACCACAAAACTCTCTTAATGCATTTGAAACAGGATTTAATTTGCACGCAGAGCTTTCTGAACACTCCCTACTGCATAAAATAAATGTGGCCTATGGGTAGGGGCTGGAGCTCCTTGAAATTTCTTTCTGTGACGGAAAAGCAGCGCCATCGAGCTCTTCTGGGCCTGACTTCCAGCCTCTCAGAGCTGCCCCTCCCCGTCAGGCACTTAGCCTGAGCTGGGGCAACACTGGCCGTGCCCTCTGCACAGTCCTGCTCCTCCTTCCCATCGAACCCCATTCCCTGGTGAAAAACCCAATGGTCCAAAAAAACAAAACCTTCCTGGCTGAGTGTCTCCATAGCAACTGAGGCAACAGACAGCGTGCTCCCTCCCCCAGCCTCTGAGTCCTCTGAAAAGCAGATCAAAAGAATAAGAGCTGAAAGGGACCTTAGAGGTCATTGAGTGAGTCCAAGCCTCTCATTTTACAGATGAGGAAACTGAGGCCCAGGATAGTGAATTGATTTGTCCAAAGTCACAATTTAGTGTCAGTGACAGGATTTGAATCCAAGTACTTCCACTCCAGAGTGAAAGCCAACACTCTTTATATCTTATCATAAGAAAAAAGGAATGCTCTCTCGCTCTCTCTCTCTGTCTTTCCCTCCCTCCATCTCTCTCTGTCTCTCCTCTGTCTTTCCTCATTCTCTCTCCCCCCTCGCATCTCTGTCTCTCTCTGTCTCTGTCTCTCTCCCCCGTTCCTCTGTCTCTCTGTCTCTTTCCCTCCTTCCTTCTGTCTCTTCTCTCTTTCCTCTCTCTTCCTCTCCCTGCCCCCCAAGGGGCTTTCATCTCCTTTAGTCAGGCACTTAGGTCAGAGGATCTGGATTCAAATACTAGCTCTGCCACCCGTCCAAACCTCTAGGACCTTGGACAAGTCCCTTAACCTCACTAGCCTCAGCTTACTCATCTTTATAGAATGAGAAGATTGAACTAGGTAACCTCTCCCTTTCCAGCTCGGCCATTCTGTTTTCTAGTATCTGATGCTCTAAGGTCCTTTCTAGCTCCAAATGCAATGACACTGGGATTCCCTCTTTAATGACCTGGAGCATTCTGGTGGGAGGCTCCACAGACCTTTTATCTTGTGGGACAGTACCTGTGATAGAAGGCGGCAGCTGTGAGGACCACTGAGAACTCATTGGGCCTCTGGTCTGTATAGTCCCAGGAGCCGTTGGTTTCATCCCAGAAGTGGCTCCGGGTCTGGAAACCCACAATCCGTTCTGGGAAGCTCAGCCACACTACAAAGGCAAAGTCCACCTGTGGGAGGAATTGCAGTGATAAGCAAGGACTTCCCCAGTGGATGCTCCCTGAGATGCCAAGGCAGGCAGGCAGCAAGGAACGCATCAGCTCCAGGTTAGATTCCTGAAAAAGCTTTCAGAACCATTAACACCAAGTCAAGTTAACAAATATTTATTAAAGCACATACTAAGTGCCAGGCACTATGCTAAACTCTGGTTGTACAAAGAAAGGCCAAAAACTTCCCTTCTCTCAAGTCTAATGGAGGAGACAGCACACAAGCAATTATGTGCAATCTAGAACCAGAATGTTTTACCAAGAGACAGCATCCAAAATCTACTTTTTCTGGAAATTTTTAAATGAATAAGCTGGTTATTTATCAGGAACAGTATTGGAGGCAGGGGGATGGAGTGCATGGTTTCTTCAAGTCCTTTAGAACCACAGGCCATTTGTGAGACCTTGAAGGGACCTTAAAATACAGCATGTCAGAGCCTGGAGGGTCCTTAGAACACAGGATGTCAGAGCTGGGAGGGCCCTTAGGACACAGGATGTCAGAGCTGGGAGGGCCCTTAGAACATAGGATGTGAGAGCTGGGAGGGCCCTTAGGACACAAGATGTCAGAGCTGGGAGGGCCCTTAGAACATGGGATGTGAGAACAGGGAGGGGCCTTAGAACATAGAATGTCATTCAATCCTCTCTCATACAAATGAGAAGCTGAGCACCAGAGAAGTAAAGGGACTTGCCTACAGTCACTCAGTGCCTCTGTGGCTGAGCTAGGACTAGACCTTAGGCCTCCAGATTCCCAGTCCAGTATTCTTCTCCAGTGACACTGCCTCCCCTCTCTAGGATTCTCTCAGTCCTCCAGTGTCACTGAGCATGATGGGGATGCTAAGCATGACCTGGAGTCTCCCCTAGACCTCACCTCACTGGTTGAAAGGCTGCTGCGGGCATCCAGGCTGAGGATGGCATCAGTGCTGATGGTGCTGTAAGGGAAGAACCGGTCACTCTTCTGTAGCAGGAAGAAAACAAGAGTCACTCTCCTGGGAGGCAAGGCAGGGGCAGGAGGCCCCCTCAGTAAAACCCCTCCCTTTCTGCCCCAGCCCCATTCTGATCACTTTTCTTCCCTCTGCTCTGATTCCTGCCTGTTGGAATCCTCTTGGACAATTTCTGAAAGATATTCTATAGGATCACTGATCAAAAGATTATAGATTTAGAGCTGGAAGGAACCTCAGGGGCCATCAGCTCCAATCCCTTCATTTTACAGATAGAGAAACTGAGGCCTGGGGAAGTTAAATGATTTGTCCGAGATAAGGTAGGAAGTCAGCATCAGAGGCAGCATTTGAACCCGTATCTTCTGACTCCTAACCCAATGTTCTTTCTACAATACCACGATGCCTCGTAGAGCTAGGCCAACTCCTCTGTATTACACATAGATGAGAATATTGAGGCCCAGAGAAGTTAAGAGACTTGCCTGAGGTCACACAGCTAATATCAGAGCTGGGCCTGGAACACAGGTATCCCCACTCCTAGACCAGTGCTCTTCCCACTAGGCCATGCTGTCCACATTCCCCCAAGATGGGTCTCTTTCCCATCTGTCTTCACAGAATTCATAAAATCTCTTATTCCCATCACCTTGGACTTCATTAATCCTACCACTCTAGATTTCTTCAGGCCCAAGGGCGTGCTCAGTTTAGATCCCAGAGAACACTTGATGTGTTTCTCTTAATTTATCAACATTCCACAGATGGATTACTCTCCTACCAACCTGGTGGCTGCTCTCCCTGCCTCATGCCTCTTCCCGCTTGTCCATCCTCCACTCAGCTGTCAAAAGGATCTTTCTAAATCAGAGGTCTGACCACACCAGCCCTCCCACTTGGTAAACTTGAGTGTATACTCAACATAAACGTTACTTCCAGGATCAATACAAAGTCCTTGGTGCGGCTTTTAAAACCCTGTCCAACCTGGCTCCTTCCTGCCTTTCCACTCTTCTTACACCTTCCTCCCTTCCATGGACTACATGACCCATTGACACTGGGCTCCTGGCGGCTCTTGGTGGCTCCTGGCTTCTCCACCTCCCGACCCTGGGTCTTTTCACTTCGCTATTTCCCATGTCTGAAACCCTCTCCCTCCTTATCTTGGCCTCCTGGGTTCCTTCAAGTTTCAACTCAAATGCCACCTTCTACAGGAAGCTTTTCCTAGTGCCCCTCAATATTGGTGCCTCCCCCTTGAGGTTGCCCCCCATTTATGCTACTTATGCATTGTTTGTATGTTGTAGTCCCCCACTTGGACTGTGAGCTGCAATCTATTTATTTCCCTTAGGGCCTCGTTACATCCAGGCCCACTAACCCCCTGGTGCTTAAGAGATGCTGACTGAATCAATATGCTTTGTAACAGCTGGGCAGCTAGGTGGCACAGTGTATAAAGCACTGGGCTTGGAATTAGGAAGATTCATCCTCATGAGTTCAAATCCAGCCTTAGACACTTATTAGCTGTGTGACTCTGAGCGAGTCACTTAATCTTTGTTTGCCTCAGTTTCCTAGTGTAAAAAGCACCTATCTCAGAGAGTTGTTGTGAGAATCAAATGGGATGATATCTGTAAAGCTCTTACCATAGTTAGTACTTGGCACACAGTAAATGCTATCTAAATGCATTTCCCATTTCCTTGGCACTTAATAGGTGTTGAACAAATAAATGAACCGTCTGGTTGAGGGCAGGAGTTGAAAGGAGGGTCCCCCTTCTTTAACTTCCATCCTCCCTTTACCTTCTTCTTCCCTTCAATGACTATCAGGGGCACTGTAGTCTGGGGCCACTTCCCCTGGGCTGGAGGAGGACTCTCATTGCTCCAGAGGACCAGAATCTATGAGAGAAGGGAGGGATGGTGAGGGGGAGAAAAGGACTCAGCGTGGGCAGAGGGAGTTCAGAGCCTCTCAGGGATAGGGAAGGCAGATGGGAAGGGGCTGTTGTTATTGTTATTATTATTCTTGAATGAGGGAACTTGCTGTTTATTGATTCATAACAGCAGCTCTTTGCCCACCAGCCACGTCTGCAACTAACTAGAAATGGACTTGAAATTTGATGACATGACATCTGGAAGCAACCGATACTAAAAAACAACTACTCTCATTTCTACCAGTTCCCCCATCTCTGTCTTTAAACTCTTTTCTCCCCGTTGCCATTAACAATTGGATTTTTGCATCATCACTTTCTTCCAAAGTTACAGAGACACAGATGTCAGAGCTGGGAGGGACCTTGGAATGCAGAAAGTCAGTGCCAGAAGGAACCCCAGAACATGAAATGTTAGAGTTGAGAGGGCCTAGATCATAAAATACTGGCTCTAAAACAGATCTAGAACATGGAGTGTTGGAGCTGAGAAGGACCTCAATGATAACATTATGGGTCTAGGACAGATCTAGACCATGGAATGCTGGCACCGAGAAGGCCCTAGATAATAAAACACCATTGCTAGGATGGATCTAGAACATGGAATGTTGGAGTTGAGAGGGACTTTACAACAAAGAACACCAACTTTCAGGGCTAGCAGGGACCATCTAATCCAAATAAATTCCCTGCCTCTTCTCCCTCAATAAGAAGCAGGAGTTCTTCTTCCCCCTTTTACAGATGGGAAAAACTGGCCCAGAAGGAAGGGTGGAAGAAAGGAGACAACATGCTCCACTGACTCAGAGTTGAAATTGGGAATATAACTGGGATATCCTGAATCCTAACACCACAAAGTAGCCACACTGCTTTCACTTATTAAAATCCTACTGGAGGGGCAGCTGCGTGGTACAGTAGATAGAGCACTGCCCTGGAGTCAACAGGACCTGAGTTCATATCCGACCTCAAACGCTTACTAGCTGTGTGACCCTGGGCAAGTATATCCTCAGTTACCTCCAAAAACAAACAAACAAATAAATCCTACTTGGCTTTCAAGGCCCAGCTCAAATATGTCTTCTAGGAAGACATATCTCTGGATCCTTTCCCACCAGTCACATGTGATCCCTTCTTCTTCTGAATGCCCTGATTATACCTAGCACTCACTAACACTAATCCTTGAGCTATCTCAGAGCCCCTCTTCTACTCCATCTCCTGAGCCTATTCCCTGCTTCCCCAGTTAGTAGGTCCCACACCTCTTCAACCCCATTGGCTTTAAAGCACATATAGCCAATCACAGTACAGTGATTCCATGGGAAGGGAGTGCAATCTTTTCAGGGCTTACTATCTGCTCTGTCACTACATTCTCCAGACCCCTATCTGATCAACTGATGCATCCTAAGGAGCCCTCTCTCCTAATTAAAATATAAGCCTCTAGAGGAGGAAGATTGACTTTTTTTTCTATTTGTTTCTCCAGTGATTAGCATATAGTAAGTACTTAATAAGTGTTTTTATATTCATTCATCCTAGTGTTTTACAAACACATATTCTTTCTAATAGGTTGTGAGCTCTAGGAAATCAGGGACCGTACCTGATACATCCCTGACGCTGTACACAGTATGTATGTGCTGAATCTTAAATCCATGTTCCTCTCACGCCCCTGCACACAGCATGAGCTCTGTAGGGACTATCAAATTATTGTTTGGGGGGGGGTGTCTCTGTCTTTACCTTGTCACCATCAGGTTTCCTACACAAGTCATTCCAGTCCCAATCTGCCCTCTCACTCTCAAGACTCCTGGGTGGGGAAACTCCTTCCAAGATTGCCAAGCTAATTTCTGCATTAGGTGAAGAACTTGGTGACGAGTTTTTGGTTTGTTTGGTTTTTTTTTTAAGATCTAGGGCTCTTAGTGAACTTCATGCTCAATGACTGAATAAAAATATTAATGAGATATTAAGATAGGGAGATAATATCACAAGTGAGGGAGATAATGACCCTGTTGTATTTTGTAAGATTAAGTTCGGACACATTTTGGGAGGAACATTGACAAATTGGAACACGTAGGGAGGAAGAGGTAGATGAGAGTTCTTTTAAAAAAGAGTCACTTCCTGACACTTAGAGCCACTTCAAGGTGGGATGTGCTGCCCCAGTAGGGAGCTCCTTGTCACTGACAGTCTCTGAGTAGCAGCTGAAGACCAATTGTCAGGAATAACAAAGAAGGAATTCCGGCTTGGGTACAGGCAAAGACAAGATGCCCTCCAAGTCCATTCCAAGTCTGACATTCTGTAAACTATGACGTGTATCACTCAAAGGCAGGGGCTAGATGGAGCTTTACAGCCTCACTGTGCTCCCCCACCCAGAAGGAATGAGGACTCCCTTAGGGATTATCTCTCAACTCTCACTGGGGTTCTCTAATCTGAGGGAATCCCACCCTCCACTGCTTCCTTCCAACCTCCCTCTCCCCTCCACAGGCCTGGCTGGGGAAGAGGCAGACCTGGGCACAATGCTGGGAGCCAGCCACCTCCTGGATCAGCTTCATTGGGGGCTGGTCCAGGGACCCCACCCAGATCAGGGCACTGAATCTGCCAGAGGGACGGGAGCCTGTAGAGTAGAATGGAGATGGAGACACACCGTTAGGCAGCTCTGGTGTAGGGGAGGTGAGGGCAGTACTGGTAGGGAGTGGATGGGGTCCCAGAGGGGAGGAGGCATCTCCATGATGATCAGCTGAGGAGCGATCTCTCTGATCAGCTGTGAAGGTCTCAGAAGGACACTAGGAGGCAGCTCCCAAAAGGGAACATGGGGAAGTTTACTGCCAAAGAGATTATCTAGTGGATTTGTTTCGGGGGGGTTCTCAGTACCAATGCGGAGAGGGAGAAGGGAACAGCGCGTTCAGAGCTAGGAAAAAGTCAAATCCAACCCTATAATATATCACACACACACCAAAAAAGCACTGGACCCAACATAAGGAGAGACCTAGGTCTGAATGCTGCTTCAGAAATTTACTGGCCGTGTGACCCTGAACTAATTGCTTCCCTTCTCTGATCTCAGCTTCTTTATTGGCAAAATGAGGATAATTCCTGCTGTAACTACTTATGGGGTCGTGTGTGTGTGTGTGTGTGTGTGTGTGTGTGTGTGTGTGTGTGTGCGTGTGCGTGTATGATTTGACGCCAGATGGCTGCCTCTAACAGGAAGGGTCTCTCTGGGACCCTGGCTCTCTCCATGGAGATCATCATAAAAATAATGATCATACAGGGTCTGTCTTGGTGAGGCAGCATTTTTGCAATCTTGGAGTCCTATAGAATAATAATAAATAGTCCACATTTACATAGCACTCTAGGGTTTTTGCAAAGCAATTTATATATATCATGTTATTTGAGCCTCTTAACAACCCTGTGAGGTAAGAGCTGTTTGTTATCCTTATTTAACAGAGGAGAAAACTGAGAGTTAAGGAGGGAAGTGATTTGCTCAGGGTCACAGGGCTAGTAAGTGTCTGAGGCAGGATCCAAACGAAGGTCTTCCTGACTCCAAGTATATTCATCTCAATAGACATTATCATCATCAATATTATTATTATTATTTCTATCTCTATAAGGGTGGCCCCTGAGGGTGGGGGGAGCCATAGGCTCATCGATTTAGAACTGGAAGGGACTTCAGAAGCCATCTATTCCAACTCCCCATATGTTACAGATGAGGAAACTGAGGCCCAGAAAGGTGACTTGCCCAAGGTCCCATATGGAGTAATTGGCATGGCTGGGATTTTAATCTAGGTACTCTGACTCAAAAGCCTATATACTTCCCCCTTTCGCACCATAGTTTTGGTGTTTGTGAAGACCTTTGGGTCAGGGGAACCTGGGCATGATCTTTATGGAGGAGGCCTCTATGGAAGGTGAGGATCTCTGTGGAGTCTGATTGGGGCAGGGAGGGTTGACAGGGGTCTAGTGCCCAGGGGCAACATACCATGTCGTTGATAGTAGAAGGGGAAGTCTGCCAAATGTGTGGAGAAGGTGGGCAGTGCCAGGAGCCCCCCAGGAGGGGCATTCCACAGCAGCCAGGGCCTGGAGGCTGCTCGAAAGATCCGGTCTCTGACGATCTGCAGGGGAAGTCATAAGGACTCTCATTTCTTTAGAACCATTAAGCTTACAAAGTGCCCTTCTCTAGACCACCCTGTGAGAGGCAGGCAGTATGAAGAATAGATCCTCCTTTTAAACATGAGGTATTCAAGCTTCAGAAAGGGTAAGTAATTTCCCCAAGGTTATACAGCTAGCAATTGTCAGAGTCTAGCTGAGAAAGGGTTTTCGTTTCTGGCTCTGCTGCTGACTACTCAAGGGGTTTTCAGTTGCATTTTTGTTTTTAACTAGATCTGTGATTTTATCAGGCCAGTGAGGTAACTTGGGGCACCAATGCAGATGAACCCGAGGCAGGCTGGATAGCCTCAAGGCACCAGGAAGCTAGGAGACTTGTCCAGGGTCACCCTGGCATGTGATAACAGATAGAGATATCAGGAGACATATCAGAGGAAAAAAACTGACCTAAGAGAACAGGTCTTTCACATGGTCTGGCAATGTTTAGATGACAACTTCTTACAATAAGCTAAAGAGGAACATTTTCAGAGACTCCCTTTGGTGCCCTGTAGCACCCTGTGCAGCCTAAGAAGGGGGTGAGACCTGTGCTCCCCCCAGCCACCGTCAGGCTAAAAGAGGGAGGGCTACAGAACAGGAACCTCCCCGCCCCCCAACCTGTCCCAACCCCCTTCAGGGGCTTGGCCTCACCTCCAGCGTGGTATAGACAATCTTCTCCACTGAAGAAAAGTAGGCATCCCACAAGAACTGGGTCTGCTGGCGGAGGGCGAGAACACGGGCAGGGGGCAGCCCTTGGAGGGCTGACTTGAGCTGAGGGGGAACACAGAGAAACTCAAGGAAGGCCAGGCTGAGAACTGGGACCTAGGCTCAGCTCCATCACTGACACATTGTCACAGATCACTGCTCTCTGGCCCAAAGAACTCAGCAGCGGAGGGACCGAGGGGCAACAATGCATCTGGGGACTAGCTTTCCATTGCCTAGATACTCTAAGACTGGAGACCCAGGCTGGCTTCTCTTCCCCTCCCAACCTTCTCTGGCCCATCCCCAGACCCTTCCTAACCCCCTATACACTGTGTCAACAATAAAATCTGACCTCACATTAGCTCTATTAGCATCCCTCAGCTGACTTATATTAACCTTACTGCCCACTCAGGCCCCTAGATCTTTTTCAAACTTCTATCTAATTATACCTCTCCTGTCTAGTGTTTACGAATTGCATTTTGTAAACCCTCCTGTGAGACTTCATGTTTGTCCTAGCTAGGTGGTACAGCGATTAGAAGTGGAATCAGGAGGTCCTGAGTTCAAATGCAACTTCAGTCACTGGGCAAGTCACTTAGATTCTGTCAGCCATCTGTAAAGTGAGGATAGTGATAGCACCTACCTCCCGGCGTTGTTGTGAGGATAAAATGAGGTGATATTTATAAAGCTCTTTGGAAATCTTAAAGTATTATATAAATGCTAGCTATTATCCTAATAAAATGTAATCCTATCTGACCCCATACTTTAGCCTGTCAGGATCTCTTTACATCCTGCCTCTGTCATCTAATGCATGAGCCTTCCCTCTAATTTTGAATTAGAGGCAGAACCAGGACCAGAACCCAAGTGTCCTGATTGCAGGCCAGGATTCCTTTTGGCTTCTTCCATACCCTCAAGATCCGAGATGTTGAACACAGGCAATACTCACTCCTAAGCAGCCTGGACCATATTAAAATGTAACTGAGAAATGTTGAATAAATAGTTAATAAAATAATTAATGAAATAATATTTAATGAAACAAATATTTAATAAAATTTTTAGTGAAATAAATATTTAATAAAAATACAATAGAACATAGATAATGCTAATGTGTGCTTTTCTAAGTCAACCTGCAGCAGGCAGGGGTCCTTATGTATGTTTTAGTTGCCCCCATTTCTTTGAGTTTGACACCACTGGGCTAACTGTCTCTGTCCTTCTGTGTCCAAGTGTTCAGTCTCAGGAGTGTTCTGGGGAAAGAAGGGAGAGCAATATCTGATGCCCTTGGAAGATAGTTATGAGGGGGGGTGGGTCATCAGACTCTAAATCAGGTTGCTTGGGTCTCCCATAGGTCTCTGGGGAAGCCAGCGGATCCCAGCCCCCATCTCCCCTTTACCTGATGCAGATGCCTCTCATCAATGACAATGGCTGAGGTGCCCCAGTCAATGACCTCAGAGAAGGGGGGCTCCCAGCCCCTGCTCAATAGCACAGGGATACATCCTGCCTGGAAAGGAAAGCAGCAGAGGGGGATGTTATCAGGGGAAGCTCCAGACTCTTGGACCAGACTCTCCTTACATCAATGTGGATGGTGTCAGAGAGGAGAGAGGGGGAGGACAGCTCATGAAGAGAGTGCAGCCAGGGCATTATTGATCATAGGGCAAGAGTAAGAGGGAAGGGGCTTTAAAATATGTGCCAAGATTCCTCCAGAGAGTCCTGTAGCTCCAGTGAAGGGCTTTATAATGCCCCAAGACATGAGGGAGGGTGGTTGGTGCCCACAGGAGCCCAGTCCTTTCCAAGATTCAGGATTTTTCAGGTCCAGCCTCGGTCTATAGCCTGATACTCAAAGCATAGGTTAGAAGGCTCCTTAGAAGGCATTCTAGAGGCAAGATTAACACACACAGTATGATCAAGGGGGAAGAGCATAGTCTGACATCAGGAGATTTGGATTCTGGTCCTACTCAGCTACTAACAAGCTATGTGACATTGTGTAAGTCACCAAACTTCTCTGGGCTCTCAGTTTCCTCATCTGTAAAATGGATTGGTCTGTATCATTTCTAAGACCCCTCATGGCTTTAAATCCTAGGATCACCAACAAGGCATGACCTTGGAGTGCTTGGATATCTCCAGTGAAAGGGAACTCACTACCCCTCCAACAGCAACCTTAATTGTCAGCAATTTTTTTCTATTGATTGAAGTGAGAGCTGCTGGTCAAAATCTTCCACCCCCACCAACTGTTCTCTGGCTCCTAGTTCTGCCGTCTGGGGCAGCAGTATAATTCTCATCCCTCTTCCCCCTCAGCTGCTTGAAGGCAGCTAAGCCTTCTCTTTGGCTAACCCTTCCAAGCTCCCTCATCCAATTCTCACATGATAGGTTTGCCAACCCTCTCTTCTGAAGGACCTTCTGTTTAGCCATATCCTTCCTAAAATCTGGCCCCCAGAACCCAGTGCTTCAGATGCAGTCTGGCCGGAGCAGAGGCTCTCTCAGACTGGACTCGGCTTTTATCAGCCCAACCCAAGAACTCCATAGTTCTGGGGAGATACCAGGTCCCACTGTTGATTCCTATTGAGCACGTGATACATTAAGACCTCCAATTCTGGAAGTGGCTGGGGGTAGGGATTGGGAGATAAGAGGCTAAGCTGCGGAAAGGGAACTTTGTGGTACCTTCAGGGCCTGGAGGAGGTGGAAGGAGCCCAGGCGGCAGTTCGGGGGAATAAAACAGAAGGTAGAGTTGTACAGGCGTTTCTGATCCTCAGACCTAAGGGACAGATACTGAGTGTTTCTAAGGTGGCCTTTCTCCTCCTTCTCCCCCCTTCTCCCCAGCCCCTCCCTCACCCCTCCCAAAAAAAACACAGGCCCCAGGAGAGCCACACACACAGAGGACCTTCTGTGTCCCCTGAAGCAACAGGCAATGCTCAGGAAAGAGCTTGTGAGCTTGACATCTGAACTCTACTCCCCACCCCCAACGACCACCATACAGGGAAACTCTCACACCAGCCACTCAGACTCAAAGACTGAGTGTGCGAGTGTGTGTGTGCACGCGCACACGCATTGTACACACGCACTCAGGCATACACTGCCACAAACATGCACAGACATACCACAATGTACAAAGACAAACACAACCACACACTGACTTACACACAACCACTTTTCCCATACACACACACATAAGTATATACATATACATATATATATGTATATATACACACAGCCCCTTCACCTGAGTAATCAGTCCTAATCCCCAAGTCCAGCCCACGTCTCTCCCACTCCTCAGTGGCCCAAACCTATGAAAGGCCTTTCTGTATGGAGGCTGAGGATATACTCCCACCCTGCCCCCCAACCCTTGCCTATCCCTAACTTCTCCCAACCCCCCTGGCTCAGCAACCACACAGGAAGCCTGTGTTGCCTACACAGGCCCACTCTGTTCCCTGGGCTACATGTGCCGCAAGGGTGTGTGTGTGTGTGTGTGTGTGTGTGTGTGTGTGTGTGTGTGTGTGTGTGGCATGTGTCTGCTGAGGGGGCAGGCAACCCCAACCCAGTGCCTGCCCTTCCCTGAGCTCAGCATCTCTAACCTAGAAGGTCCAAGATGAGCATTTGGGAGTTACGAAGGAATCCAGGGAAGTCCCAGAAACTCCAGACCCCCTCAGCCATGGGGGACTTCCAAGTTCAGGAAGACTAATAGAAGGAGTGGAGTGAATCACCCAGCCTGCCTTGGGTTCAGCTGTCCCCAAAGGCCAGGGGCTAGCTGGTCTGGGCTTTGACAACTAGATTCATCTGAGTGAGTCTTAGGGACAAGCTCTCTCCTATCTCACCATGCACACAGCTGAATCTGGAAATCAACCAGGAGTGTCAGGCTTCTACCCTCACCACACACACAGCTCCCTTAATTTTCCAATAACTATAGAAAGCGACCATTTCTACAGTGCTTTAAGGCTCAGAGAGTCATATCAGTGCACCATGAAGTAGGTATTTCAAGGACTATTATCCCCATTTCATAAATGAGGAAACCGGGGCTCAAAAGAAGTAGGGACTAGTCCAAAGTTAAAGGGACTAGTCCCAAGTTACACAGCTGCAAATGTCAGATCATAGAATTTGGAGTTGGAAGGAACCTTAGAGATCATTTTATCCTAATCCTTTCATTTTACAGAGGAGGAAACTCAGGTCCAGAGGTCAATTTGCCCAAGGCTACCTAGTTAGCAAATAGTTGAGTCAGGATCTGAACTCAGATCTTCTGGCTCTAAAATCAGTGTTCTTACCTTATAGCAGGAAGAGAAAGGTAAGGTATAGAACCCTCACATCAAAGAGAACAGGGTGTGTGAGAGGCAGAAAAAGTGGGTCACCCAGCCTCTGGTCCCATGGCTACCAACAGTTCCAGACCAACCACCAGTGAGCAGGGATCTGGGGGGGGCCTCAGGGAAAGAGTCTGGTCTGCCAGCCCCACCCTCTTGAGAAAAACCTGTTTTGGCAGCCTTGATTCTGTCCCTTTGGAGGCTGGGAAACAGGTCCAGGGGCTTGCTCCCAGCTCCTCCCAAGAGCTCCCTGACCCACCAAGCCTAGTGCTGAGTGGAAAGTGAGGCTGGGCTGAGAGGTGGAGAAGAGGAAGGAGGAGAGAGCTGTGCATTGGCTTTCTCTGCCTAACTTATTTACCCAGGCAGTTCCTGGAGCCCGGAAGAGTCTGGCTGGGCTCGAACAGCCTCCCTGGGTTGCCTGTTGAATTCTGACCTGTGGCCTCTGGCTTGAGGGAAACTGAGGCACAGACCACCCCTGTCATCACAGGCCCAGTCCCACAGCAAGGCCAATCCAAAGCAAAACTAAATTAGGAAGCTTCTCTTGAATCTTGGAGGAAATAAAAGGGTCCTGACCTGGGACTTCTTAGTAGAGTTTGAGAGAATTGCCTGGGGCATTGTCTTCCTGATTCCAAGGCTGGCATTCTATCTACTCTACTATGCTATCACTCCTGAGATAAAGCTATAACCCTCCCAGCTCTGCCATGCTGTGTCCTAAGGGCCCTCCCAACTCTGACATCCTCTGTCCTAAGGGCCCTCCCAACTCTGACATCCTCTGTCCTAAGGGCCCTCCCAGCTCTGACATCCTCTGTCCTAAGGGCCCTCCCAGCTCTGACATCCTCTGTCCTAAGGGCCCTCCCAGCTCTGACATCCTCTGTCCTAAGGGCCCTCCCAGCTCTGACATCCTCTGTCCTAAGGGCCCTCCCAGCTCTGACATCCTCTGTCCTAAGGGCCCTCCCAGCTCTGACATTCTCTGTCCTAAGGGCCCTCCCAGTTCTGACATCCTCTGTTCTAAGGCCCTCCCAGCTCTGACATCCTCTGTTCTAAGGCCCTCCCAGCTCTGACATCCTGTATCCTAAGGCCTACGACTTTACACAGAAGGGAACACACCAATCTAAGTTCTCCACTGAGACTCCAATAACAGTGCAGCTATGTTTGTGGACAGAACTATAATAGGTTAGTAAACAGAGCTGAAGCTGTTTGGGGATGTCCTAACCAGCAGGCATGACAAGTACATTCTGTACCAGGACCCTCCCCCATCAGAGACAGAGTCATACTGGGCAGGTACATACCTCAGGACAATAACCCTGACTGGGCAGACTTCCTGGAGGAGGTGGGATTTCAGGAACCATGAACTCCCATCTTCTCTATCTATAGGGTATCAGGGCCCTTTAACTGAATCTGATCCTAAATAGCCACAGAGCCCTGTGGGCACTTGGCCCCATGATGAATTCCTGGGAGAGAGATGGGGAGCCCAGAATAGCTAGGCTCCATTACTTTAACAGAGGGAGGGGTAGGGAGGACAGGGGAGGGAGGGAAGAGGGAGGTACTTGAGGTTTGCCAGGTTCAAGTTTGGCCTAGTCTTAGGGGAAAGCCACCATCCCCAGAGACCTTGAGTGACCCAGTGAGGCATGGATTTAACCCTTCCCTTACCAGACAGCCTTTAGGAAGCTCTGAGAACAGACTGTTCAGCCACCCTCCTGCCCCAGGGGTGCTTGATCGTCTCTACTCTCCCAAGGAAAGTGCAGACTTCTCTTTTCTGCAAAAATTCTCAGCCTTCTGTGGCCCCCTTTCAGGTTTCTATTACAATGCCTCTCAAGGAAGGAGTTCTTCCAAGGGGGTCTTAACTATTTTTGTGTTTCATAGATCCCATCAGCAGTCTGGTGAAGCTTATGGATCCCTTCTTAGAATGATGCTTTTAATGTTTAAAATGAAGTTCAAGGAGCAGCTAGGTGGTACAGTGAATAGAATACTGGCCCTGGAGTCAGGAGGGCCCGAGTTCAAATGCAACCTCAGACACTTACTAGCCGTGTGACCCCAAGCCAGTACATAAATAAATAAAATGTATAGGATTACAATGCATATCAATTATTTTGAAAGTTATCAAAAACATTTTTAAAGTTCACACATCCTAAGTTAAGAACCTTTGAATTCGAATCCGACATTTTCATTTTACAGGAGGAAAGAGTTCCAAGGAAGTTGCAGAGCTAGTATCAAAAGTAGAATCTGGGGGCAGCTAGGTGTTGAAGTGAATAGAACACCAGCCCTGCAATCAGGACCTGAGTTCAAATCCAGCCTCAGACACTTGGCACTAGCTTCGTGACCCTGGGCAAGTCACTTAATCCCAACTGCCTTACCAACAACAGCAACAACAAAAAACTTAAAAAAAAAAAAAGTAGAATCTGAACCCAGGTCTTCCTGACTTTAAATAGAGTATTTTATCTACTACTTGAGGCCTCATTTCATTCCTTTCTTGTCTTCTCTAATACCAAACCGTTTCATTTTCCTCCTACTTCTCTGACTACCCCTTCTTGGCCTCCTTCACTGATCTTCCACCTCCTCCGGTAGTAACATCATAAATGTGGATGTTTCCTAGGGATCTGTCCTTGGCCTCTCTGTCTTTCAATCTCATACCACCTCAGAGCTGGACGGCACCCCAGGAGTCAGCTGGCTCAACCTATACTCCAGCAGGAGTTCCTGTTTACAACATACCCAACAAAATGCTTGTCAGCCTCTCCTTGGAGCTCTCCAGTGATGGGGACCCTTACTGCCTTCTGGAAGCTGCCCATTCCACTCAGTTCTAATTGTTAGAAGTTTTCTTCTACACATTAAGATAAAATCTGCCTTTCTATAACTTCCATCCATTGCTTCTAGTTCTGAGACAGAATAAATCCAGTCCCTTGTCTAACATATGATAGCTTTTTCTAGCAGAGTTTTTGTTATTTTAATTGAGCTCCACCTCAATTAAGGCTGACTTCCAGCCCTGACCTCTCTCACTCAGCCATAAAAATACAAGTTATTACCATTGCTATTACTCCAGACCCACAAGTTCAACTGCCTACTGGGCAGCTCCTCCTGCATGTCCCTTGGGCACATTAAATTCAGTATGTTCTAAACTGGACTAAATTCTCTTTCCTCCCCCAAATAACTTCTTCCTCCTAGCTTCACTACCCTTGCAATGGCCCCACCACTCTCCCAGGCTCCAACTCTGTCATCTTTAACTGCTTCTCCTACCTCTTCAGCCCTTACCTAAATATAGCCATCATGTCCTGAGTCTTTTCTTATCCGAACTAAACATCCCCAGTTCCTTAAGTTGATCCTCAAATGACCTGGACTCATGGCCTTTGACCATTAAGGTTTCCCTCCTTTGGACATTCTCTAGATTATCAACATCCTCCTTAAACTGTGTCCAGAACTGAACATAGTACTCTAGATATTGTCCAATGAGTGCAGAGGACAGAGGGACCACTGATGACTAGTACAGAGCTCGCACTCCTCTAAAATCCCCAGATCTATTTCATTTTTCATTTATTTTTCATGTTTTACACTTTTCTGCATCCCCCAGAGGCTGGCAAAGAGCCCAGCACATAACATGTACTTGGTCACGCCAACAGCTCACATTTTTATAGCCATCTGCAGTTTACAAAACATTTTTCTCACAATCCTGTAGGGTAATACAAGTATCATCCCCATTTACAGATGAGGCAATGGAGGCAAAGTGACTTGCCCAGGGTCACACAACTAGGAAGTGTCAGAGCAGGGATTCAAGTCCAGATCTCCTGATTCCAAATACTTTGCTCTTCCCATGACATCATGTAACTCTTGTTGACCAGTTGTTTCTGACTGGTTGCCAAGTGATTCTGAGGCTCATGGAATCAAAGAACTTTAGGAGTTGGGAGTGGTCATCTAGTCTAACCTATACCTGAAAAGAGAGTACTGTCTATAATAAGTGATCATCTAGTCACTGCTTGGAGACGTCCAATGGGAAGGAAAGGTTACTTACTAATTTCCAAGGCAACTCATTCCTTCAAGCTGAGGGTATCTTCCAGTTGGCATATAGACACCAAATGAAACTGATCCAGAAGGATCCCTTCTGGAAAGCTATTCAGGTCCTCTGACAGCTGAGACAGGAATGGGCTGGGTTGGGAGGACTTCTCCCCCCCTCCCCATTCTTATCTACCCCAAGGGTTAAGGTTAGACTAAGGATCAGTCCTAATGGAGAATTTGGTACAATGGAAAGAACACTAGACTTGGGATGAAAAAATTCCAGAGGTCTGGGTTCAGGTTCTCGCTCTGCCATTTACTATCCAGGCCTCAGTTTTCTCATATGTAAAATGAGAGAGGAGCTTAACTAGATTAAGATTCTTTCCAGTTGAAAGGATGAATACTTCCTTCCTTAACATGCTTGGGGATGCCTTCACCTCTAAGCATGTTACTTTCCCTTTTCACACTTCAGTTTCCTCTGGTGGAGGAAGGGAAGATGATCCTTGTGGTCATTTCATAAACCCTTGCCTTGTGGTCATTCTTTTATCTCTTGGGGGAGAAGGTGGTCTGCCTGGAGTCTCTCATTCCTCAGCAGGAGGAAGTGAGGGCAGGATCAGACTATTACAGCCTTTGATGCCTAGAAGAGCTCAAGCCTCCAAGCATCTTAATTTGATTTTCCAGAGGCCACCCCACACATTCCCTTGCCTCTTTACATATGTGAATCATGGGGAATTGAGGTATTGGGGGCGGGGAAGGGAGAGTAATAGTCTAAGGTTGGAATAAAGTAATCATTTCTCTTGTTTTTAAAGTCCAGGGGTAAAAACTGTAAGCTTTCTAAGTTCTCTATGAGAGAACTATTCATCTTTGTATTTCCCCTAGTCCTTAGCCCAGTAGTTCGTAAACAGTGGTGGCTTACTAAATATTTGTAAAATTGAATTGACAGGCTACAATCTGTCCTCTTGGCCACACCTTTTGAGGCCTCACTGCCTGGACCAAAATTTTCCCTAAACTCGACAAATCATAGGATCATAGAACTGAGACTGGGAAAAAGACTTTGGAGATCCCCTAATTCAATTATTTTACAGTTGGGGAAAGTGAAGTCCAGAAAGGGAAAATGATTGGCCAAAAGTCACACAGCTGAAAGGTTACCAGTTTAGGATTCCAACTCTGGTCCCCTTACAAGTCCAGGGTTTGTTTTTTGTTTTTTTTCCACTACTCCCCAATATCCTTCAGCACTCTTTCCATTAGCTTCTCTCCTAAGATCCTGTTCCCCTAGTCCTATTTTCCTGCCTCCCTCTAATCTCCCTTTCCCCTCTGTGACTCCTCACAGTATTCAAGAAGTATACGGGAGGGGTAAGGGGAAGCAGGACTTACTGCTCAGTGGTGTGGTCCTGTTTACATGGCCTGTCCCTGCGTCCTTTGCTGGTTTCACCATGGCGATCACTTGGGATCAAGATAGCATTCTGGTCCCATTGGTTGGAAGAGCCAGAACCCACATGTCTAAGGCCAACAGGTCTTCTCCAGGAGTGGGAATAAGATGGACCAGTTGGCTTTGACTCCCACCCCTCTGTGGGTAGCTCTGGGGGAAGAAGGGGAGGGAGACATCAAAGCCAAGCCTGAAGGTCTCTGGTGTGGGGTTGGCTCTGGCCATCATGGCCTGCCCAGGGTCAAAGCCCAGATCCAGCCAAGAGCCTGGGTGAAGATGGAAAATGAGATGATTCTGCCCTCCATTCCACAGCGGGAGCAGCTGGGGGCCCAGTGCATCCCCTGGGAGGACAAAGAGGCAGGCTTCCTCAGGGTTGACCGTGTGGTATCGGGAGCCCTCAATGGAAGCCAGGACTTTATGGTGAACTTCGGAGATGGGCTGGGTCGGCCCAATAGGGTACACAAACACCTTGAAGCCTTGGCTCTGGCACCTGGAGGTGTCAAAGCATGTCTCCATAAGGCAGCCAAGCTTCTGGCTCCGCCACTCGTGGGTGCTACAGGAGGGTGGGCAGGGGTCTTTGCTCAGCTCCTCAGGCCCCACAAAACTGGGTAGAAGCTCCTGATCCAGCCATCGGGGCCAGCTGGTCAAAGTCTTGGGTCTCAGGCCAGGGGGGATGGCAAGCTGTTGAAGCCGAGGAGCCCCTAAGAGGACAAGGAGGAGCCAGAAGGCTGACAGTATCGGCCAAAGATATTTCCTTCTCCTGGACTGCATATGTCCATTAGGTTACCTGGGATCAGGTGGGAAGTATGCAAGAGGGAGGGATGCTGTGCGGTAACGGGGTTTTACAGAGGTGGAACGGCAAGAAGAGCAATGTCCATTCAGCTTCCCTTCTCTACCTAAAGGGGCCTGCTCCAATCCAGTCCTCCATTCTTATCTCCCTACTCCCTATGGCACAAAACTCTACAGCCTTGCTCTTGGGGCCTGAGCCAAATGCCTTTTGTCTCCTCTATCTCCCAGGTCCCAGGGCTCCTGCCCAATCTGATGCAACTCAACTTTTAGCACGAACCAGGTCAGTTGGGGGAGACTGGGACGGGCAGAGAGCAAGGCCAACAAGTTAAGTCTACAGGTCATGCCAATGAGTACACCCAGGGCAATGGGCACAGCTCTCCACTCGAAGAATCCAAATAATTGAGGGACCTCATTGATTTAATCCAGCCCCATTATTGTGAAGAGGAGGGAAAAGGGCTTACAAATATTCAGTGACTTGCCCAAGGTCAAGTAGTAAGTTACTGGCTAAGCTAGGACTTTAACCATTTGATTTCCTCTCAGTTTTCTTTCACTTAGGGAGGAGGTTTCCTTCTGAGTCTTGGAGAACTGGGAGTCTCCAGCACAGGGTACACAACCCCCTGCTAGGGCAGGCTCTACCCAGGACTCTCAGATCCAGGGCTCTTAGTAGGGTGAAGAGCAGAGGTTCTCCCATGGGAGTAGTATCAGATTTTCTTCTTGCAGTCCAGGCAGCCCCTATCACCTTTGTGACCACTAGTCCTACCCCAGACGGAGCAATGCTCACGCTTCCCTGTGACTCCAGGAATGCCCACCTTAGGGGTGGATCTCCGGGCAACCTCCCAGCCACATAGAAACTATCAGGCCAGCTCCTGGGGAGGGAGGGAGTGTCAGTGAGCCCCTCCGCCCTACTGCCGGCACCCCTGCCCTCTAACCCGGGCCCGGTCCCCTCTTTTCCTCCCTGTCTTCAGGGAACACCCCCTTTCTCGCTGGCGTACTGCCTCCCGCCGCCTGAGTTCGCCTCCGCCTCTTCGGTTCTCTCCCGGCAGGTTCTGTCACCACCTCCTCTGCCCCGCCGCAGGCTGCCGGAATCTCTGGCTCCGCGTTCCCAGATGCTCGCTCTAGAACCCCACTGGAGCCGCTGCTGCTGCCTGCCCGCGTCCAGCCCGCCCGCAAGTCCCCGGCTTCAGCTGCTGCTCCAAGGTCCCCCAGTAGTCTCGCCTGGCTCCCAGCCCCTCTGACCGCCGACCAGCTGTGCTTCCGTCTAAAACTCACCCCCTCTCTGAGCGCCCACCCAGCTCCTCCTGCGCTGCCGTGATTGGCTCTACATCCAGAGAGGCGGAGCCTTCGAGTAACCCCTTCCCAACCAGCCCTCTGACCCCCCAGGGAGAGCGCTGTCCACACCCGGCTGTCCTCAGACAGCCTTGAGCTGGCTTTCGTATTTGCCCAGATCGTTCCTATGCCTGCCTCCTTCCACGTAGGATCAAAGAGCTGAGAGCTGGAAGGCACTTCAGAGATGACATAAGGTATTCATTTGGCGAAAGAGGAAACTGAGGCTCATCGGGGTTAACATTTCTTGGCCAAGGCCACACAAGCCGTCTTCCTCAGCACTTCAAGGATTGTAATGCACTCCATCACCTCTGCCCTTTGGAACCCCTAGTGTCTTTTAAATACCGAGCAGTGACGCAGAGCCAACACAATTCCTTTCCTGATTCCCCCCAGCTGCTAGTGCCCTTCTCCTCTAAATCACTTTATGTCATTTATCTATCTATCTATCTATCCGTTCGTTCGTTCGTTTGTTTGTTTATTTATTTGTATACACCTATGGACAGATAACGTTTGTCCAAAACGGAAATCACCTTTCCCCTAAACCTTCCTCCCACCCACCTTCCCTATTACAATAGAGCCCAATACCATCCTCCGAGTCCCTCAGGCTCAAAACCTAGGGGTCATTACTCTCATTCCCGACCCCCACCCCCATATCCAATCGATTGCCCTGGCCTGTCGATTTCATCTTTGCAACGCCTCTCCAATACCTCCCTTTCTCTCCTCCGACACTACCACCACTCTAGCGGAGGTCTTCATCTCCTCAAGCCTGGATTATTGAAATAAACTGCTGATAGGTTTGCCTGCCTCGAATTCCCTCCACTCCAATTCAGCCTCCATTCAGGTACTCCAGTGATTTTCTGAAAGCCCAAGTTCGATCCTGTTACCTCATTACACTCCCCCCCACACCCGACACACACAAGCAACGCGCCCCCGGCCCCGCGCTGATATAACCCTCCTCCCATCCCCCGGCCCCAGTACATTGACACATTCAGTAAATTTCAGTGGCTCCCTATTGCCTCCAGGAGCAAAACCAAAACGCTCTATTTGGCATTCAAAGACCTTCATAACCTAGTTACCTCCTACCTTTCCACTCTTCTTACACCTTAATCCCCACCGTGTAATCTTCTTTCCAGTGATTTTGCCTCCTGGCTGTTCCAAGAATAAGACACTCCATGCATCTAGGCGCCAAGCATTTTCTCTGGCCGTTGACCCATGCCTGGAACGCTATCACTCTTCCCCTCGGACCACTGACTTCCCTGGTTTCCTTCAAGTTGCAACTAAACTCCCACCCATAGGGAGCCTTCCCCAACCCCTCTTAATTCTAGTGCCTTCCCTCTGTTAATTATTTCCTGTTTTCCAGCATATAACTTGTTTGTATATATTTGTTTGCATGTTATCTCTCCCCTTGGACTATGAGCTCCTTGAGAATAAAGATTATCTTTTGCCTCTTTTCGACTCCCCAGCACTTAGCACAGTGCCTAGCACATAGTAGGCACTTAATAAATGTTTATTGATTGATATCTATACTTTACCTCTTCTGTCCTTGAGGGCAGGGACTTTTCATTGTTGTCTTTGTAAACCCACTGCCTGAAATGTCTTTAATAAATACAGATCGATTGGTTGCACTGTTCTCCAAATAAAATGCTCTTCCCACTTCCCACAGCTCAGCTCAGCTAAGGGGAGTGTATCCTTATCATTCAGGTTACTGGGGAACAAGAAAGCAGCATGGTATGGTGTGAGGGTCCTGGTCTGGGAGTCAGGAAACCTTGTGTCCAGTCTTTGCTCAGAGTACTATCAACTTGCTGTGTGTCTACTCTGTGTCTCCTTCTTCAAACTTCAGGCAACCCCTGGGTTTGAGGAGGGAGACAGAGCCCTTGCTCTCAGGGATCCCTAGTCCAGAAGTTCTTAGCTTTTGTGTGTGTGTATGTGTGTGTGTCATGGACCTTGGCAGTCTTATGAATCCAATAGACTCCTCAGGATCATAGTTTTAAATTCATAAAATCAAACATATAGGATTACAAAGGAAATTAGTTATATGGAAATTCAGTAAACACAATTTAAAAAAAGAAGAAGACCCAACAACTTCACAAGGTTCCTGATACCGAGACACAGTTCCTGTCCTCAGGGAGCCCAAGGTATTACTGAGGGATAAGGGACACACAGACAAGACAAAGGAGTCAGGCCCAAGAACTCTCATAAAAACCAAATATCAAGCAACACAAATAAATTCAGGGCTAACTGAGTCCATTAACACTTGAAGGAATGTGGAGAGATAAGATCTGGTTTAGTCAAAGGTGAAGAAGGGAGTATGGTCAAGGATCAGAAGGAGAAGAGGAGGAGGAAAGAAAGGGCCTGGGAAAAGCTCCCATTCCCACATCAATTTAAGGTTTGCAAAACCTCTTTCCTCACCATATCCCACAGGAAGGCATTTTCCTCCTTTTGCAGAAGGGTATATTGAGGCTCAGAGACTGAGTGACTTAGGATCATTGATTTACAGCTGGTAGGGACAACTCCCTTTTTGTAGATGAAAAAAATGGGGTCCACAGAAGTTGTTCAGGGTCACACAGCTAGTAAATGCTCAGGGTGAAATTCAAACCCAAGTTTTCCTGACTCCAGGTTCAATGCTGTATCCAGTATGCTACACTTCCATGATCTTACAGCTAGTGAGTGGAGGAGCCGGAGGCCCTGACTGGCCCTGCATTCTAGTTCACTACACTCCCCTAACCAGTTCTGGAACTGTCCCATCTCCCCCTTCCCCAGCAAACTTTACTCTGTCTCAGTTATGTCAGGTGCTGCCTTCCTCCCTAATCTTACTCCACATCATCTCCTGCCTGCAGGCCCCACTCCCACTGTGGAGCCTGGGTGTCTCTCAGCCTAGCTGAGACCTTGACTTGTCAGGACTGAGTTGGGAAGTGTTTCCCTTGAGGCCTGAATGTGGAAGATGAGGTGGCATCAGCAGATGGTGCTGGGAGTTGGGCAGTGTCCAGACCCCTCCTGAAAGCAGATGTGCCTGCTATTAACAGCCGATGGTACTATTTCATCAGGACCCTCTGTGCCATGCTCCTACCATCATTGGTAGGTCCAGTTTCATCAGGACCCTCTACACCGTGTGCCTACCAAGCCTATGCTCCTTTGCTTCATTGTAGAGTCCACAAACACACCAAGAAGCTTTTCCTGATCCTCCTGGTTGTTTGGGATCTCTCCTTCAACAACAACAGAAACATTTATTAACAATTATTACTGTGTGCCTGGCACTGTGATGAGCTCTGGGGATACAAAGAAAGGCAAAAGACAATCCCTGCCCTCAAGGAGCTTACATCCAATGGGGGAGATGACATGCAAACAGCTACAAACAAACAATCAACGGGATAAATTGGAGACAATCATCAGAGGGAAGGTACTGGCATTAAGGGGGATAGAAGGTGGGATCTGAGCTGAGACTTGAAGGAAGCCAGAAGCCAGAGACAAGGAGGGAGAGAATTCCAGGCAGGGAGATCACCAATGAAAATGACCTTAGTGGAGAGATGGAACACTGTGTCCCAGAAAGAGCCAAGGAGGCCAGTGTCACTGGAAAGCAGGGGGTGGAGGGGAGTAAAGTGTGAGAAGACTGGAAAGGTAGGAAGAGGCAGGTTAGGGAGGGTCCTCCATAAATTATCCTATTTGCCAATGGTGTATCCCACTCCAACTTACCCAGCAGGAGAGAAGTTCCTTACTTTGCACATACTGTAAGAATTGGTCGATGTGTTTGTTAGTTTTGCTGAACTGCATATTTTTCCTCTCTCTCTCTCTCTCTCTCTCTCTCTCTCTCTCTCTCTCTTTCTGTCTCAGTTATAAGGGATGACTTTCAGGGCAATGGAATGGGAAGTATGTGTGCATGGATCTATAGATATATTTGGAAATGAAAGTGACAAAAGAGGTATTGCTTTTTAAAAATGTTTAAAGAGAGTATAAATTCCTTTCTAAAAAAACCCACAGGTTTAGAGCTGAAGAGACCTTAGAACTCACCTAGTGTAACCCCACCACCTCTTCCCACTCCCTTCCCTTGTAAGGATGTGCCCCATGTAGACTTCAGCAATTCTGAAGGTCATAAGGGGGGAAAAGCAGAGACAATGAAATCGAAAGGTGATGCTCTTTTGGGTGTAAATGTAGCTGCTCAGAGCTTTCCATTCCAAAAATGAGAGGAATGGAGGGGTGACTCATGTCCCCCATTTTATTGGTCCATCTGTCTCCAGCTGCTCATTCAGATATTCCTGGTGGGCCAAACCCTGGGTTGGGACTGGAGGAATTTAGAGGCCAGAAGAAATGGGGGACTCCTGAGAGAATTTGAGGTTCATGGAGCAGTAGAGCCGGAAGAGAATCCAGAACAAAATTGTTAGAGGAGAAAAGGTCCTTAGAAGATAAAATGTCAGAGCTGGGAGGGAACTTAGAACAGAGAATGTCAGAGCTGTGAAGGGCCTTAAATCAGAGAATGTCAGAGCTGTGAAGGGCCTTAAATCAGAGAATGTCAGAGCTGGGAGGGCCCTTAAAACACAGAATGTCAGAGCTGGGAGGGCCTTAGAATACAGAATGTCAGAGCTGGGAGGGCCTTTAGAACACAGAATGTCAGAGCTGGGAGGGCCTTTAGAACACAGAGTGTCAGAGCTGGGAGGGCCCTTAGAACACAGGATGTCAGAGCTGGGAGGGCCTTAGAACACAGAATGTCAGAGCTGGGAGGGCCTTAGAATACAGAATGTCAGAGCTGGGAGAGCCCTTAGAACACAGAATGTCAGAGCTGGGAGGGGCCTCAGAAAACACCTAATACAACTCCTTCATTTTAGAGAGATGCCCAAGGTCACACCATGAATAAATGGTAAAGCCAAGACTAGAATTGGGTCTTCCTATTCCTAATTTTAGTGATTTTTTGATGTTTGTTTTTTGCTACAACTCACTGCAGTAG